TAATAGAACTGCTTCGTTACTAAGTGATTATACATTGACACGTTTGAAATCCCTATAGTACACTTCAGAAGATTGGTCACTTCTAGTAAAATTGATTCCATATGATAGAAACAACATGTCATGATCCGAAACCCCACCCAAAGAGAGTTGTTCGAAATGATTAACATAATCACAATCACTTACACAAAACAAATCTAATAGACTAGGTTTGCAATTAGGAGAAAAACGAGTGGCATGTTTATTAATTACATTAATTCCGCTGGATTTTAGATCATCCAGAAGCTTTTTTGAGTTCCGATCATTGCACAAAAGATTAACATTGAAGTCGCCACAACACACAATATGGTCATATTCTAAAATCAACTCAGAAATTTTTACTTACTATCAACTATTTAAACAAAAAGACATTCAACAGCACTTGAGGGGTCCGATTTAAATTTTAATTCTGCTTTAAGTGACTTTCAGCAATAGATGGCAACACCACCGTTATTTTATTTTGTCTTTTTTATAGGCTTTTAGGGCCTAAAAATCCGTTCCCTGGTGATAAGTAATCATTCATCCGCAATTTTCTTGTACGTGAAATGAAGTTGCACGATCGATTTGGTTAAAGTTTAATCCCGAACCCCTCTTTGTGTTCCCCGCTACTGAATTCTATATACTGTCAGTTTTCACAAAATTTAAAATGCACTTGCTATGAAAATTGTGTCAAAATAAAAACTTCACGTTCACGCTCGTATTGAACTGTATAGCGAGCTGAAGTGTAAATATCGCACCCTAAATCAAAAACAGTCACAACTTAAAAAATCCCAAATGTACAGGAGCGGCAAAAATCTGTTGATGCTGCGCAAGCGACATAATCATAAAGAACTGTCAAAAAACAAAATTGCTCTCAGAGAAAAACAGAAAACCTTGAAAGTACGGCAACGCTTTTCGTGTAAAACTGATAAAACTGTCGAATATACCGGAGACGCGAATTTTTGTTTACGTAGCTGGTTTTTTTTCCTTTGGCGATTTGCTAAATTACACAAATACACTGGCAAAAAAAAACAAAAATACTTACAAAACTTGATATTTCTTCGCTACGATACATTTAATAAGGTGAAAGCTTTTGTTTTTGGTTATTCAAATTCAAATTTCAATTTGCTTTGAAGACATTGAACAACTGATGGTTTGACACTTTATCTGATTTCACCAGCACACAGGGAGAACTCATTTACTCTCCAATTTTTTCCCCTATGTTGAAGGTTTTAGGGGGATGGCGTTTAATTTTTGTATTGCATACAATTTTCGAATGTGAATTTTCTTCATCGACGGGTGGGGGAATGACTAATTTTCTTCTACTTGAAACTCTTGAAAACGACATAAGTAATGGGGATGGCATTCCTTGCAATTGCTGAAGGGCGATGTAGCCTCTTCATCCAGAACGTGCATCACGCTTTCACGCGCATCTACCCAGAGATAGATAATTTTCAAAAATCATGTCTAAAATCTCACCGTCAAACCATTATCTACAACACGTAAGTAAAACAGAATGGACATGGTTAAAGTAATTAAATATCAGTCAAAAGAGCTCTAATGGGGATTTTCTTTTCCTCTAATTTGAAATATCCTGGTTCCCAACATGAAGCCAAATGATTGGCTGACAAACTGATGCGATTGAATTTCTCATCTCCCTGGCTGTTTGGTATGACACCCATTCCAGATCAGTCTTATGAGTAAATCAATGCAGAGTACAACCATGGACATCGCTGCAGCCACTGAGTCGATACGAAGTTGCGCTGATTTTCTATCCACTTCCAGAAATAAGGGCTTTGAATTTGCGGCGAAAGAAGCTCATCTCGCAAAATAAGAAAGAAGAAAATGTTCGATCACGAAAATCAAAATGCGTCTGCAATTTTCATACCAGAAGTTCAATTTAGAACTGATTCTTTTGTGGTTCTAGTTGACACTGCCCTGGCTGCTGTCAAGCAAATGTTTGAGCAGTTGAAAAGTCATGAAAATCCATGGGGGTTTTCGTATTACTCACATTCGAAAGAGTCCCCAGATTCAATAGGAGATGGGACTTATGGGATGTCCATAAATG